CTGTGTCATCTGTACCGTCTCTGTTAAATAAATACAGTTAATAAAAAGGGAAATGTTTGCAAGTTAGAGAAAGACTCCTGCCTTAACTGCTACCTTTCTGCAAGTAGCCTGCAATGATTTCTCTGCTTTGCCGTGTTCATTCATTGAGACGCTGTTTGGCGTTAGTCATGTCACAAAGAGTGTTTTGTGTCTTGTGTTACAAGCTTACCTAACACTCGGGTAACATGAAATGTTACCTCACAAAACAAAAGACTGATTTTTAGCCCCCATCCCAAATCCAGGCCAGCAGTGATTTGTGCTCTCTGGTTCATCAGGTTATGGAGTATGCAAATGACCTGAAACAGTTCTGGAAAAGGGGATATGGTTATGACATCAACAGCAAGTCCAGCTGCATTCTCTTCCATGATGTGTTTACTCGACTGGACAAAGCAGCCGACGCGAGCAAGTGAGTAAAACCGGTCCTTCAGTACAGAAAAATGGAGGGTGGTGTGTATTTTTACTCTGAATACTGTAAACAAATGCCATAAAAAGACCAAAAGCAATGATTAGATAGTCCAACATCCTTACCCTGGCTTTGGCTTTCAGCCTGAGACTATTCGTTGCTACTAAAGATGTAAGACTTTCTGGACTATTTCCAGTCGCGGATGAATACAGAGCTCTAGTGAGTATTAGCAAGTAGAACTGAAATAGTTACTTAATCGATACATCGCCTGACAGAAAATTAATTGGAAACAGTTTTGATAATTGATTAATCTTTAAGTCATGTATCAAGCATAGACACCAAAGCACTGTGTTAACAGTGTGAAGAATTGCTCTTATTCTCTGTTTGAAACCACTGTAAAGTCAATACTTGTTTGGTTTTTGACCTCACTCTTAACTCTGGGAACTATTTTTCTTTTTTTCACTTTTATCTGACAATTCATAGACTAAGCACTTTATCAAGAAAGCAATTGGCAGATGAATTACCATTACATACAGATTAATGGTAAAGTGGTGCCAAGAACTGGTACTGACAAACCCAACTTGCAGTACTAAACACTCAAACAAAACAACGCAATGTTCTTGCTCCACTAGTAAATAATTATCTAATCACTTGGCTTTGAGTTACAGCTTTTCAATCTTAATGTTGATGTGAATTGTGATTTTGTTTTCAGCTAAACGTCTTGGGAAGCGCAGCAAACTTTAGTTGTATAAACACACATCTGTTGAATGAGGATCTTCATCACAAGGATGAGATTTGGTAAAAAAAAAAATAAACACGTTTATCCAAAGATATTAATCTCCTGTGTGAACACACCGAGTTGTACTGGCACACTCAAACTCTGTTCAGGCTTCTACACCTCAAAAAGAGTGGAATGGACTAAATAATTATTGTTTAATCTGGTTTTCCTGTGATCGGGGTTCTTATGCTGTTGCTCTTGGCGAGAAGCATTGCTTTCCTGTTTGAAACATTCAGCCTTTTATTAACCAATTACCCTGGTTGAGGAGAAAACTGCTGATTATGATAATATCAAGCTGAATTGACTCTTGTGTGGACGTTTTCTCGACCAGTGTCTCTTAGTGAAAACTTATATTGCAACATATCCGAATAATTTTGGCAAATTTTCCTGTATGTCAGGTCAGGCCAGCAGGTGACTGAAGCTGTGACGGTCCAGATCGGCCACGCAGAGACCCTCCTGCCACTGCTTACCCTGCTGGGCTTCTCCAAGGACAGCGACGTCCTAAGATCCACCAACTACGCCACACAGAC